AAATATATAGAATCTCTTCACTGGGACATCCAGAGACTTTTTTTTTCTGTGTTTTCAGGGAGAAAAGATAACCCGGCCAAAAGAAAAACCATAAAGATCAGCATAGCACTGGGGTGGAAATAAGTTGTAAAGCAGTTGCCTAGCAAGAGCAGGGCCTAGTTTGACGCCCAGCATCCAGACAGGAAGTGGGCTGTATGTACTACACCAAAGTAGTTCTCTAAGTTCACACAGTGCACTGCAGAAAATGGTACAAAGTAAGCAACTATATTTTTATTTGAAGTGAAATTCACATAGCAAAGAGGCATTTAGCACAGCAGCATTTAATATTCTGCACTATGTACAACTCTTGCTCTTTCAGCTCCCCTGTCCTCAAGAGTCTGGGATGAACTGATCCGCTCTTATCTGTGTGGATTCACCCATTCTGGATAGGTCATGCAGGTGGAATCAAAAGTGTCCTTGTGTCTGGTTCTTTTACTTAGGGTGTTCTTGACACTCACCTTCCAATATTGTGTTTTTACTTCTGTCTGAGCATTCCTTTTGGTGCACACAGCATACTTACATGTTCACCCTTGCTGAACAAACATCTAGTCTTTTTGGTTGAGACAGGGTTTCTCTGTGTAACACCCTTGGCTGTCCTGGAAGTCGCTCTGTAAACCAGGCTGGCCTCGAACTCAGAGATCCACCTGCCCCTGCCTTCCAAGTGCTGTGACTAAAGGTGTGTGCCACCACTGCCTGGCCATCTACACTGTTTCTGTATTTGGCTATTATGAAAATAAGGGGCTGGGAATGAGGCTTAGTGGCAAAGTGATGACCTCGCAAGCATAAAGAAAAAAAAAATTTTTATCAAGTGCCTGTTTTTCATTTTTGAGTCTCTTGTAGTTTTAGGCTGGCCTCCAGTTTGCTATGTAGCCAAAGCTGACCTTGAACTGCTGATCCCACTTGCCCCTACCTGAACTTCCAAGAGGAGGTAGAGCAGTATTGCTGGGTCATATGGTAATCAGGCTGGTCAAATAAGTACTAACCTACCATAGAGATGACCAAAGCTAACTGCAAAAAATACAAAAACAGCCCCCCCCCCCCCTTTTCTTTCTCTTCTTCTAAGACCGGGTTTTACTCTGTAGCCCAGGCTGAACCGGAACTTGTGACCTTCCTGCTGCAGCCTCCTAAGTACTGGAACTATGGGAAATGCCTCCATGACTAGCTTTGCACTCAACTTTAAAGGAACTTCCCCACTATTTACTGCAGAGGCCAAACCAAATACCGGTAGTACCTACGAGTCCTACATCCTGGAAAGTGACCAACTTTTAAAAACAAATATAATTCACTCTAAATTGGTACTGATAAATGAGTGCAAGTTCGAAATTCACCATCAGGCGGACTGAGTGAGCACTGACCTACCACAGCCATGACCAAAGCTAACAGCAAACACTGGAAAAGCAGGCCATGTGCAGCAAAACTAAAAGCCCTTTCTAACCAGTGAGTCACAGACCAGAAAACATATGAGCCACCCTCATCTTCTCAGCCAGGTATTCCTGGGAGCTGGTTCACTTTGAGTAAGAATCCCGGCAAGATAAGGGGAAGTGGTAACTCCCAAGAAGGGAGCAAGACCAGGGTGCGGGGTCTGGACCACAGCTTCATCAGTGCAGCTACGGACCACTGACGGCAAGCGTTCTCTCTGCCACACAACTACACCCCAGCCTGGGTTGGCCAATTTAAAATGGACATCGTAGGGAAAAAAGCCCCTTTTCTTCTTTTTCTCAAAAATTCTTGTCGTACCCACATTCCCAAAGCAGTTACATCAATGCATCTTAGGCCTTTGTGAAACCCTGACCTTTCTTTTTCTTTTGGTTTTTGAGACAGGATCTCATTATGTAGCCCTGGCTCGTCTGGAACTCAGAAAAATCTGCCTATCTCTGCCTCCCAAGTGCTGAGACTAAAGGTGTGACAACCTTGTCGAGTCTTGATTGTGTGTGTGTGTGTGTGTGTGTGTGTGTGTGTGTGTGTGTGTGTGTGTTCCTTTTTCTACGAGTGTTAGCTGGTAGATTTTTTTTTTTCTTTTTAGGTAGATGACATTTCCAGATTGGAGAGGACAAAGGCCTCTGGGGTGGCTTCCTGCTTCAGCACTCCTGTCAGGAGGAACTCAGAGGAGAGGAGAGGTAGTCCCAGGCGAGATGGAACAGCACATCGAGGAAGGTCTTCAGTGCAAGTTATGACAACTCGATGAGGCTGTAGAGGACACAGCAAAGACAGCTGGGGAGGAAGGAACCTTGAAACAGATCAGTACCCCACTAGTCTCAGAACCGAACTGTATATTTAGTCATACGCACACACACCCAAAGCATGCATGAAGCACACTGCCCTGCCTATCAAGTATTCTTGCCCCAAAGGTTAACTCAAAACAATTCAGCCCACCTTCCCCTTTCTTTTTTGGAAAGGGGTTTCATACACCCAAAGTTGGCCTGAAATGTATATAAAGATAACCTTGAACTTCTGATCTCCTTGCCTCCACTTCCAGAGTGCTGGGGCTACAGGTCTGTATTACCAAGTCCACTCCACATGTGCTAGGTATCAAACCCAGAGTTATTGTAAATGCCAGCTAGGCAAACAGGCTGCCATCTGAGCTCCATTCCCAGCCCCAATTGCTGCTTTTATAATTATAATTTGCACAAAACACAGAATATAGTGGGATAAGATAAAAATGATACAAACAAGGGAAAACAGAGAAATCCTGACCGGGGAATATTCTCAGGGACAACTGGTCTAGCCTCTGTTGGGAAGACAATTCCTACAAAGGAATGGGGTCGGATGGGGTGGAATACACAGGGGGACTTCACAGTAAGAGAATCAGGAAATATAACAAATCTATGGGCTTTATATGAACTTTAGCTTTTTGTTTTTAAGAACAAATGGGGGTTCTCACTGGGTAGTGGTGGGGCATGACTTTAATCCCAGCACTTAGGAGCCAGAGGCAGGTGGATCTCTGAGTTTGAAGCCAGCCTGGTCTACAGAATGAGTTTCAGGACAGCCAGGGCTACACAGAGAAACCCTGTCTCAAAAAATAAAATAAAACAAAAGAAATGGAGTTTTCACTGTGTTGCTCGGTCTGATTTTGAACTCTTAGGTTCAAGTGACCCTCTTTCCTCAACCTCTTGAACAAATGGTAGATACTATAGGTATGTACCACCATGCTTGGCAAAATTCTACACACAACTGTAAAAACATCTTTTAGCTGGTCACAGTAGCACAGGCCTGTAAACCTCTGCACTTACTATACTAAGCCAAGAGGATGGCCTGGGTTACATTGTTTCAAACACACACACACACACACACACACACACACACACACACACACACACACACATCCTGCTACCATCAAAATAACAACAAAGCTGGGCATAGTAGTTTTTATGCCTTTAATCCCAGCACTCAGGAGGCAGAGGTAAGTGGATCTCTGTGAGTTCAAGGCCAGCCTGGTATACAGAGTGAGTTTCAGGACATTGAGGGTTATGTAGAGACCCTGTCTCAATAAACAAAACAACAAAATGGCATCTTTCAGGTAACTGGAAAATTTGATTAGTGAAGAAACTATTGCTAATTTTGTTAGAGATCTGCAATGGTACAATAAATACTGAAGAAAAAGCATATACTTCTTAGAAGTGTGTATTTAAGCACAGAGGAGGAGGAAATAATATATGCTGTTTTGTTTTCTGAGAAAGAGTCTTTCTGTGGAGCACTGGCTAAACCCTGGATTTATAGTGATCTCCTGCCTTTGCCTCCCAAGTGTCAGGCTGGGTCAAAGAAGTGAGCCACCACACCCTATTAAAGTCATTTTCTGTTGAACTGCTATGGGCAGATCTGAGATACTCTAAGGTAGCCCAAGCTGGCCTCGAACTTGCCAAGGATGACTTAGAACTCCTGGACCCTTTTACCAGGACTCCCAAATGCTGGGATTCACAGGCATGCTTTCCTCCTTCACCCCAGCACTGGGAAGAGGGAGGCAGAGGGTCAGTTTGAGTTTTAGGCCAGCCTGGATCATTATGTAGCAAGCTCAAGCTATCTCAGGTTACTGTGTGAGAATCTGTCTTAAAAAACAAAAACAGGCCGGGCAGTGGTGGCGCACGCCTTTAATCCCAGCACTCGGGAGGCAGAGGCAGGCGGATCTCTGTGAGTTCGAGGCCAGCCTGGGCTACCAAGTGAGTTCTAGGAAAGGCGCAAAGCTACACAGAGAAACCCTGTCTCGAAAAACCAAAAAAAAAAGAAAAAAACAAACAAACAAACAAACAAAAACAGATAAAAAAATTTTAGCCAAAAAACCAAAACCAAAGGGGAGTTGAGGAAGGCCAGGTATGGCCATTTAGCAGCACTAAGGTTAAGGCAGCAATTCTCCACCTATGGGTTGAAAACCCCTTGTGAGGACGAGCAACCCTTTCACAGAGGTTGCCTAAGACCATCAAAAAACACAGAGATTTACATTATGATTCAAAACAGTAGCAGTTACAGTTTTGAAGTAGCAACAAAAATAATTTAATGGTTGGGGGTCACCACAACATGAGGAAATGTAATAAAGTGTGCAGAGTCAGGAAGGTTGAGAAGCCTGGGTTAAGGCTGTACTCAGCATGTGGTCCCACATCTGGCTACTTGAAAATATTGAAACCTCAAATCAAAAGGCGGTCCACTGGTGCCAGCAGCTCTCTTCCCTCCTTCCTCTCCCACTCTCTTCCTCGTCATCCTCTTCTCACTCCCACCTTTCTAGCCGTTCCCCCCCCCAGGCTCAGGACACGCACATCATACCTTATAGGAATGGGGCATGCTGGGCAGGACTGTGCCTCCACAGCAGCTGATGATCTCTCCCATCTGAGGCGGGGGTGGCTGCACTCCAGGGGTCACATGAATCTCGTAGCCCTAAGGAAGAGGAGTGGTGGGGACAAATGTCTGCACCGTGGCTAAGGGCACTGGGAGACCTCTTGTCCTCAGGGCAGGGCTGACGCACGCTGCACAAGGCAGCCCCTCACCTCCAGCAGTCTTCGCTCCCGAGCCCGGCTCAGGGCGTCCCGAAGGCTGAAGCTAAAATTCTTCTCTTGTTCAGGATCAGTCACCAAGTAGTCATCCGGCGGCAAGAAGCAACCTGCCTTTCTGGACTAAGGGGAAGAGGAGGCAGAACAGTGTTTCGTTTTAAGAGAACGCATCATGTCTTCTTTTTCTTCCCAGTGCTAAGGACTGACCCCAAGACTTCAAGCAAGCTAGGCAAGTGCTCTACCACTGAGTCATTCAGGCCCTTACAGTAAGTGTCCTTTCAAAGCAGCCTCGGCCTCACTAACACTAATTCTCCATCTCCTTTCCTCTCACTGCTTCCCAGGAGGGTAGGTGAGCAGTCCTTGCCTGCCACTCATCAGCTTCTGGCTTCTTACCTGATACAGCCAGTTCAGGGAGAGGATGGGGATCCCTTTCCCCAGGGCACACAAGAACTTGACTGTCCTGCGGATGCGATCAGTGACCAAGTGGGAGGCCTCATTTACTGAGCTGGCCAGACTGCCTCCCAGAGCCAGGACTGCACGCTCCCCACGAGAATCCACGACGCCTGTGAACAGTACCTAGGGGATGGTGTGAAGATGGTCACAGCAACCTACACCAGCATTCTCCTCTCAATCTCCAGCCCCTCCTTTCCTACCTTGGGGGCTGCCACTTCTTGGTTAGGCTTAGCCCGCCGGCTTCGACTTGGGTTTCCTTGGGTCTCGTCTTCTGCACGGTGCCTCTTTCTCTTGTCTGGTGTTGGAATTGCTCTCTCCTGAGACTGAAAAACATCTCAGTGGGCATTTCTGAGTCCTGCAGCTCTTGCTCCTAGCTCGGGGGCCCCCGGCTGTCCTCTTACCTCTTCCTTCACTTGAATTTCTGCAAGATCTTCTTCCTTGGGTTCTGTGGTCTTCTGGGGAACTTGTCTTCGGGAACGCTTTTGAACTGGTGAGTCTGTGGTAGTGGAAGGCTTCTTGCGGACTCGAGAAGCCTCAGGCTGGGGCTTGGGAATGGGCCCTAGTCTCCCAGCTGCTTCATTTTGCATCAGAGGACTGTGAGTGGGGGTCTCCGGAACCTGGGGAACAGCGGGCTCAGGAGTGACTGTAATCGACTCAGCTGTTTCTAATGCCCCCGAGCCTTGGCCTGTTGAAGATTGGGACTCAGGTTCAGAGGATGCCGAGTAAGGCTCGTGGCCAATGGGAACTGTGTGGGAGCCCTGTTTCCCAGCAGCCTTCCGCCTCCTTCGGTGACTAGCTTGAGGAATAGGCTCCAGGGGAACAGGCTGGGCTGTGGGGACAGGAGGCTGGAGTTTAGGGGTAGTGGAAACTGGGGGAGCACTTAGTGGTGAAGACTTTAGTGTCATGCTCTGACCTGTCATCTCAGGGGTAACAAGATGGTCTTTGGAGATGGGAGGCCCAAAATCAGGGGCTACTGGTCCAACTGATTCAGAACCCTCATTGGAGGCCTTACATCTCCTTCCCCGAGTGCTCAGAGCTGTGGGCTTGTGAGCAGGCTGTTCTCTAGAGGTGAACGACTGGAGTTCAGAGGTTGTGGGAATGCTTGCCTCAGGAGTTCTGACGGAAGACCTGTGTGTCCTGCCCTGAGACGAGGGCTCAGGGGTGACAGGCTGTTCTGTGGAGGTGGGTGGCTGGAGTTCATGGCCAGTGGGGACAGTTGGTTCTGGGGTCCTGACAGACTTACTTGACCTGCCCCGAGAGGACTGAGATGTGGGTTTAGGGTTAACAGGCTGTTCTGTGGAGGTGGGTGGC